AATCTTTATTATTCCTAATTTTTTTTTTAAACTTTTTTTTAAACAGACACAAATATTCAAATAAAGATTAAGAGTTGGAAAGCATTTTTTCTTGCAAATTTATATACAATATAAAATTCTAGATTCACCAATCATTTGACTATAATCGAAAAATTTATATCTTGATCGTCTTACTATTATTAAAACTTTCTAGGTAAACGGTTAAAAAGAATTTTGTTAGACACAGAGATATATTTTATTAATATGGTATTTAATCGTTTCAATCACGTTTTTAGAGCACAAACGCAATTCATTGCCTATATAAAGAATTGCGTAACAATGATTGCTTATTGCTTATAATAATTGGCTAGACAATATTTATTAAAATGCTGTAAATACATACTTATAATAAATTTATTGTTTTAGCTTGATTATAATCATATAGATTCTCCAATGCTTTTGTATGTCGAGCGTATTTTATTATATGAATAAATTTCTGAGTTTTTCACAATAATCTGTATATACAGTATGTATATTATATAATTCCATTATTAAAGAAAAGGTATATTGCGAACAGTATATGTGAGAATCAATACCTTGTTCTGCTGTTCATTACAATTATGCTCCAGATTAACCTATTCAATTTCGGAAATTTTAGCTTCATCTTCTACAATTTCGGAAATCTTTGGCGGTTCATCTATAATTTCAGAGATTTTTGGTTCATTGGTGGACTCGTTTGCAGTCTTCTTTTTAACCTTTTCTGTTTCCTCTTTTTCATCAAGTTTTTTCATTCGATCAAACATTCCAGCTAGTTCTCTACGTTGTTTTTGATCTTGCTCCCTATCCTTTTGTTTAAGACGTTGCCATTCACGTTTAACTAATGGGTCTAATTAAGATAATATAGAATAAGTTTATTGATCGTCTAATAAATTAACATGATAATAGATAACATTACCATCTGGATTTTTTTCCGTCAATTTTTCCAGATCTTGTCTTGCTCTTGTTGTATTACCATCGGAAATGTACGCTTGTGCACGACGAAACAAAGCTTTTGTATTATCAGGATCATTTTTCAAAGCCTATAGAAAAACCAGATTTTATAGAAATTCGTATTATTTCTCTTAATCAACACATCGAAGAACAAGACAATGACATCAATCATCTATGCACCTTATCTGCGCACTCAATTGCCCTACTCCACTTTTCTTTTTTGATCAGGCACGCTATTTTAGATCAAATAATGAATTAAGCAGGAATTGAGAATTTTATCACATTAACAATTATTTAACAACAATTATTACAATTATTTAGCAATAATTATTAAGATTCACACACCAGACATGTTACTATATATCACGCTTGTAGTTTTCATGATGTCTTCTTGTAAAGGATCAGTTTTGGGCTCCTCTTCTTGTTCTTTGCGAAATATAGCAAAGGATTTGTTATTTTGAAGACCATGTAAGTGTAGCAAAGCCTTGAAATGCGTAAGTTTTTTTCTTTTAGTAAAATACGATAAGGTGAATACAACCCTGTAATTACAAATACGGGTGATAAAAAAATTTCACCTGATGGTAGTGTCGCAGTGCTAAATAAAAGAGATATGTTATTCAGACATTTTAAGAATTTTCTTTCTTTACACATTTCTTAAAGTTGAACAACAAACCTTCTGATATGTTTCCAGCTTTGAAAAATTCATTACCCTTATCCTTTTCGAGTTTGCTGGCCACTAATTTCTCTTCATTAGCACTAGAATTGGTATTTGTACTGTCCGACATCGTTTTAATGTTTAGGTAAGAGGAAAGTTAAAGAGAGTACTTGTGTTATTGAGAGGATGTAAGTATAACAATAATTCTTTTATAATAATATCGATATGATAAAGATATTTAGTTGCTAAAATTTCCGGATCAAGAATTTAAATGGTAATTATGGTAATTTGATAATGATTGACGGCTGATTTTTGGTTTATAAATTCATTACATATTATTATCGTTATTAATAATATTATTTTTAATCCTCTTCATGACAAGCCAAGCAGCTTCGTTAGAATCTCTCAAACTTGATCCAGCCACATATGATCATTTAGAAACCATTCTTACAAATAAAAATGGCCAGACACCATTGCATAAACGCTTTCGTGCTATGTTTACGTTAAAAAACCTTGCGGACAAAAAAAGCATTGATATACTCGCTAAAGGTATATTTAAATGAAGGATAAGCTTAAAGGTATAAGTTAAGATCAAAAATAATTTGCTGAATCTTTTCTTGTCGATTAATAGCATTTGATGATGACTCTATACTATTAAAACATGAACTTGCTTATGTATTGGGCCAAATAAAAAACCCATATGCGAACCCAGTGTTACGTTCTATCTTGGCTGATCGATCTGAAGATCCAATGGTTCGACATGAAGTACGTTCATTTATTTTAATATTCTTTGATCTTAACTTAGTTATTGTTAAGCTTTATTTCGTTTATGATTATCTTATTATAAAGGCTGCTGAAGCTCTTGGAGCAATCGGAGATTTGTCCTCATTAAATATTCTTGAAGAATATCTATACGATGAAGACGTTGTTGTCAGAGAAACTTGTGAGTTAGCTATCGCTAAAATAAAATACGAAAACGAAAAAAATGGGCAGGAAATTTCTAAAAGGTTGTTGGAGTTTACTTCTTGATCACTATTGTTGAAACAATTTTTAACAAGTTTACATGATTTAGCATATATACATCGGTAGATCCTGCTCCACCAAACGTGGAAGTTCAATCAATAACAAAATTACGCGATATCCTTCTCGATAAGAAGTTACCTTTATTCGAACGATATCGCGCTATGTTTGCGTTACGTAATATAGGCACCACGGAAGCTGTTTTAGCTCTCGCGCAAGGTTTCGATGACCCATCTGATTTATTTCGCCATGAGATCGCTTATGTGTTTGGACAAATTCAAAGTCCTGATAGTGTACCTGCTTTAATAAAAACATTGGAAAATATGAATGAATTATATATGGTTCGCCATGAAGCTGCCGAGGCGTTAGGATCCATCGCAACCTCAGATTGTTTACCGGTATTAAAAAAGTTTAAAGATGATCAAGAGAGAGTTGTTAAAGAAAGTTGTGAAGTTGCACTGGATATGTTTGAATATGAGAATTCACAGGAATTTCAATATGCGGATGGGTTGGTTAGGGATGGTGAAGTTAGTTTAGGTTTGGTTTAGGTTTTAAAATCTTTAGAGTTCCAAATTAAAATTTAAGTTAACTTGTTCTAGTTTAGAATCAAAATTTAAAATCTGTTTTTTTTAATATTTGTAAAATATTAAAACAAAAATATTAATTAAAAAATAAATTATATATGTAAAACTTTTAAAATATATACGTATTTTTTGATTTTTTGAACGATTTTATTTATTAAATATATTATATACTAATATTTGATTTATTTAATAAAATTTTAGCTTTATAAGATAAAAGAGAGTAATATAAAGAAAGTGAAGAAAATAATTTAGTCTATTAAAATAAGTTAAAAAATATTTGGTTTTACTTTTTATTTATATAAAATAAATATACTGTATCTTTTAATTTGTTAATTTATTACGTATTTTATTTTCAAGTAATAAACTTATTTAATACTAATAAATACAATAATGTACATATATAATTATTTTTTTTTATTTATATAAAAAAAATTTAAACGAAATATAGAAGAATTTTGTTGTTTTTTCAAATTTTTCCGTAGCTATTGTATCGACTAATTCAACAATATAAAAAACAGTTAGTTATTATTACAACTATAAGTACATATACAAAGCAAAGTCGAAATAGTAGCGAAAGAGGTTAAAGGAACAGTGCGACTTGGTTCTAGAGATGAGAATTTCGCAAAACTTCTTGACCGCATAACAGTTAGGGATTTTGCCAAATATGGACAATGTAGATCATACCTTGTATGGTAAAGAAATGTTGATCACATGATCTAGATCATTTGGTTGTACAAAAATCATGTGTAATTGACCAATCAAATTTAACCACAACAAAATTTATTTATTAAT